GTGGCTTTCCGTGGGAGCGCCGCTGACAGGTAAGATGTTGAAAACGCGGCATTTGAGGATGCGTAAAGCGTTGGCTCGTGCTCCCCTAAATGCAGAGTGTTTCCGTTGCTGCAGCACCCTGGTTTGTGGGGTAGCACAGGTGGGTGCGCGCCTGTGACGCAGCCTCGTGGGGGAACACGTGTCCCGTAAGCACCGCTACTCCGAGCGGCTGCTGTCCGTCAGGGACACGTGGAGCCGTGGCTCTCACGTGGTGACAGCATTTCTCGGACTGAATACGTTCGGCATCCGGATGCCTTCTGGGTTAAAAAATCTGCTTTTTCAGAAGCAGTAAACCCTGAGGTCTTACAATTTCTGCCCCGTTTCACCTACAGCTTGTAGCCAATGTGCTGGTGGTCCCCCTCCATCCGTGGCTGGGGGTGGCAGAGCCCACATCCCCCGTGGCCACCTGCTTTCACCTTCCCAGGGAATAACCCACCATCACGGGATGCTCTGCATCCCTGGGGAGGGATAGCAGCCCAGTGAACTTCCCCCAGCCGAGGCCATTTGCCTCGGCCATCCCTGGCCATCCTTGCCCAGGCACGGCAGAGGAAGCCATCCATTCTTTTATGTGCGAAGGCACGCCGGGTGGAAACGCTTGGAAACGGCCCCAAAAGGACATTCCAAGTCTGGCAGGAAAGCGGCCCGCTTGTCTGGCAGGAGATGGGCTATTGTCTGTCCCGGTGGCCGGCCGGGATTCCTCAGGCCCTTCTTGGAAGAAGAAAACGTCCGTGTGTGTCTTATTTTTTCCTCTGCCCTCTCTCCGGAGGGGATGCCGGGAGCTGTGAATGCTGCACGTGGCTGGTGTGTGCACGGCAGTGGTGTCGTGCCACCTTGGCTCTCGTTGGCGCTGCTGTGTTTGCTCATATGGTGTTTTCCCCCCTGTTTTGCCCTGTGTGTCTCTCCATTGGTTGCCTGGGCCGTGGTGGCAGGATGTGGCCACAGGGCGAGTGGCTGCGTGCTGCTTGGGATGGGTGGGTTTGTTTTGGGATGACTGGGTACCACGCTGGGCTCCTGAAGGGAAAAGTCTGCTGTAACCCGTGAACTGATAGCTTTCTGCTGTAACTGGGGAGAGAGAGGAAAACAAAAACCCCAAGACCTTCTCCTGCTGGCCAGTCAACCTGATGGGCAGATGGGGGCAATGTCAGCCCAAAAATCTGGGCAGCCCAGCTCCTCCAGCCAACTGCTCTCCCTGAGTCCCCTTCTGCGAAAACCCTTTGCTGTCCCCTGGGGTGGGATCAGCCCCGAGTTGAGGGGCAGGATTAGCCCCGAGGCAGGCGTGCTGTGGCGCTGGGTAGGCGTGTGGGACAATTGCCACATTGGCATCCTCTCCCGGGACCGGAGAAGGTGGCCGTGCCACAGGTGCCGCTGCCCCGAGCTGAGCAGCGCTGCGGCTGTTCCTCGCACCCCGGCAGTGCAGGAGACTTTGTGTGTTTGTGGCTTTTTGGCCTCCTGCACCCTCTGGTATTTTTGCAAAGAGCTTGAGTTTCACGTAACCTCAGTGCCTGCTTCGTCCCTGCCTGAGCCACGGGCAGACACCCCCTCACCACCACCACCTTCGGGCAGTCTTGCCTGCCAGCCTCCCCCTCCAGCCCCCTCAGAACCCTTTTCTTAGGACTGCAGGCAGGATCTGCTGCAGGGAAAAAGCCTGATCCAGCCGCCACCACACCTTTGCCAGGCAGCTTTTTGGCTTTTCTTCTCCTTGCTGCTTTGTGCTGGTGGGGAGATGCCCGCAGCCCCCTTTTCTGGAAAGCCAGAGCCTACAGAAGTGACCAAGAAGGGGTTCTGGGTGCCGGGGGGGGGGGGGCGGGGGGTCTCGCCGGTGCTCCCCGAGCTGCTGCGGTGCCAGGCAGGGTGGGGGCTTGCTGGCGCCTTGGCCCCCCTGGCTTTTCGAGCTGTTCTGCTGCAACACAAACGGGGCAGATAGGATCAGCTGGCAGGCAGGAAGGGTGGCACGGCCACGGGGAGAATTGCAGGACGTGCCGTTCGGGGGTAGGAATGGAGAAAAGAAAAGCTGTCGCCATCCCGAAAACCTCAGCGCTTGGACTGGCTGGGCTGGAGTTTGGAGGCAAGGTGAGCACATTGATGCCTGCACAGTATGGGCATTTTAGGGCTTCAGTGCTTGTGAGATGAGCCCCCCTCATGCTCCCCAAAATGCTGTGCCGGGGGGAAGCAGCCCCATGGATCTCTGGTCCCTCACCGAGGACTCGTGGCTCCTCAATGGGTCCGGTTTGGTCCTCCAGGCTGGCGCTTCACATCCCAATGCCATTCCCTCCCTTCCCCTCCGCAATGCATTAAATGGGAAACATTAAAGGCGAAGATCTGTTACACTCCCCGTGCCAAGGCAATTGTTCCCATCCCTATTGTCTGCCACAGGCAGCCCCGGAGCCCAGCACCTGAGCCCGCAGCACAGGGCTGCCGCGGGAACCAGCCCTGTAACAAGATAACAGCGCCGTTTTCTCCTTTTTCTTCTCTCTTTTTTTTTTTTTTTTTTGTTTGGCAAACCGTATAATAAATCCACAATGAGGCCCCTTTCAAACAGACCCCTATTAAAGTACCGGCCCCATTTTAAGAGTAAACTTCCAGTGGCACCGGGAGGTTATGTACAATGGAAATGTGACCTGCAGGAGGAGCGGGACGTTGCTTTTGTACGTGTCTCAAACCGAAGGCATCGCTCTGTGCTGCAGTGTTGCTGCTGCTGCCCCATTGCCTGGGCACCTGGGCAGCCCAGGGCTGGGCAGCATCTCGGCCGCAGGGAGGGAGGGCAGACCTGTGGCAGGGATGCACCGAGCAGGGGGGGGTTTTGCCTTTAAAAATCCAAAAAGGCTGGAAGGAGGGAGCGGCTCTGCACCCACACCTGCAGGTCCAGAGTTAGGAAAGCACGCAGGGCAAGGTGCTGCAGCCGCCGTGCATTCGTGCCTCAGTTTCCCCACCTGTAGCACATGGAAAACACGGGCTCTGCGGCAGCCTCGCAGGGCAAATCCTCCGCAGGTCGTTGGAGCCGGCCGAGCCGTGGGCACGGCTTCCCGCTGGCTGCCTGCCACTGCCACGCTGCTGCCAAGCGTGTCCGGTTCCTCCCCGGCCGAGGCGTGTCGAAGGCAGGCGATGGGTTTTCGGGCAGGCGCTGGCCGTACCCGGGTCGCCCTCCTTGCCACCGGGCTGGCCAAGGTGAGCCGGGGGCAGGAAGGGGCGACACGGGCGGTACCGCAGGATGCGGCAGATACCGGGTGATGCCGACGCCAGGAGGAAACCCGCCGGCCCAGCGAGCGCGATGGTTTGTTCAGCGGAGGGCAAGGGAACTGAGATTAAAAAAAGCCCCGCTAAGATCAGAAAGGCTGGCACGCACAGTGCCCTATTGTGGAGCTGTCACACTTCCCTTTACTTTATTGCTTTTGTCCAACACCCTATTGTTCCACTTCCTTTTGTCCCCTATTCACAGCCCTGGCTTTTCATTACCCAGCCGGCCTTGTTGTTTTCGTTTCTTTTGTTTGAAGTTCCTGAGAGGAAGGTTTTATTTTCAGCGGTTTGATTAATTCGCAGCTTGAGCTGGGCTTTGTTTGTTATGTAATTGCTGCCCCGAGTCGGGCAGCCCGGCTCGGCCCCCCCCTCCGCCAGCTTGCACCCCCAGCCCTGATTTAGGGGGGTCCTGATGAGCTATCGAGGTGTGGGGAGGCAAGAGGGAGAAGATCCGGGGGGTCCCGGTTGTGGGGTGCCAGAGCCCAGGCAGGATGCTCTCCCCATCCCACCACAGCCCCTTCCCACCTTGGCAGCCCCTGTGGTCCTGGAACCCGGAGCTTGGCTCCTGGCAGCAGCCGGTGTAAATCCCTTCCTTAACGGCCTCCTTTTCCCATTATTCCTTCTTGAAAGGCGAGATTTGGGAGGGTAATACTTGTTCCCATTCTTGCTGTGCAGCGTAAGGGTTGGTGGCCCCGAGAAGGCAAATCCCTACGAGCACGGGGGCAGGTGGGCACTGCCCCTTACACACAGCTGATCCCTTCGCAGCAAAGGCACAGTGAGCTCCCGGTGAGCTCCCGGCGTGCCCGACACTCGCCTGGGGATACGGCCCCTGCAGCCCTGGTACTGCTGGAGGCTGCAGCAGAGCTGGGGCTTTGCAGGGGACGTGGCTGTGACGTGTTGTTTAGGGCAGATCCCATTGAAAATACCAGCTCTGGCTGTGCTTGGGGTCCCCTGGGGTTATACAGCTCATCCCCCATAACAGCTCACGGTCGCTTCTGCAGTGCCCGGCCGAGCGGCTGGCAGCACCAGAAGTTGGACCGGCAACCACAGCCATACTGGTGAAGTTGGGGAGAGCCATTCCCCGGGGTCGGCCCCTTGCCCTGGCTGGGGCTTGGCCGGTCCCAGCTCCAAGCTGTGCCGGGGACTCCCGGAGGAGCAATTCTGGTGGCTGTCCCAGCCATTGTTCGGCAGGGCCAGGATTTCCATTTCCCGTCGGAGCGGGAAACCTGCCTGCTGCCCTGCCGGCTTTCTAGGCACGGCTCCTGGGGTGGTGCAGGGGGGTGCAGCTTATGAGCCAAGAGCCGGGAACCCCTGGGGTGCTGGCTCGGGTCCGGCATGGGTCTCTGTTGCGGTGAGCCTGGGGTTGCTCTCTGCCAGGCTGCTGGATGAAACGCGAAGGCAGGTGCTCATATTGGCCCTAAATCTTATGCCTCTAGGTCGCTTTCTTTAGGGTTTTGCTTTGTTGCTCCATTCCCTTCACAGCCCAAAGCGTGAAGGGCTTGTTTCCCTGGGGGCTACTGGCTGTTGAGCCCCAAGTCTGTAAAAACCTGAGCTCAGGAAGCCAGGAACAAGAGCTCAGCTTCTCCAAGCCATGGCAAAAAGCAAGACCATTATGCCTGAAAACCCAGCAGCACAGGGCACCCCAGTATAAGGCCAGGCTGGGAAATGGGGTGCCCATAGCAGGGGGGTGTCCCATGGCTCTGCTGACAGCCCTGCCACCCCATAGGATGTCCATGAGGAGCCCCGTTTCTCCCCACCTGGAGCTCGATGGAGCGGGCAGCATGGTGAACTGCACCATCAAGACGGAGGAGAAGAAGGAAGGCAGCTATGAGTCCCCACCAGGGGCTGCCCCCAGCACCGAACCCCGTCCCAACGACCCGCCGGGACCACCGCCGAGGGAAGGCACCGACCCCCAGGCCCTGCCGCAGGTGGGTCCCATGGCTGTGACAAACATGGGTCCTGCCAGGCTGGCAGCGCGTTGTGGCCAGCCCCGCTCTGGACCTGGGCTCCATCCCCTGGCAAAGGAGTGGTGGTTGTTTGCCCGGGTGGTTATTCCTCATCCCAAGGAAATTAAGCTGAAACCTGAAGCTCCCCATAGGTTTTCTGGCCGTTGTTGATGCTCTCAGGTCAGCCCTGAGATTTGAGGGCTTCGCTTTCGGCGTTGGAGCCCCCTACGGTCACCTCCAGACATGCTCCGTCCCTTCAGCCTCCCCTTTTAATTGCTCTTGGGTTTTCTCTCCCCCTGACCAGCAGCCTCAGCCCTCCCGCTCCCTGCACTGCTGCCCCATGGGGACGGGGCTCAGAGGGGCTGGGCAGTCTAAATAAATAATAGAAACCTCCAGCAAACAAATCTTTGTGGCATGAAGAGCAGAGATGCTCTCAAGCCGGGCTGGGGGGAATGTGCCTGGCAGAGTGTGGTCCAGCAGTCAGCTGGGCAGGGCCGGCTCCAAGCATCCCACTGACCCAGCACCTCCTGCCCAGAGACCTGGGGACATCTCCGTCTGTGGGAGTGGGTGCCGAGTAACGTGTGTGTCTCAGGAGTCCCACTCGCCTGCGGGCGACGCGCTGGAGCCCAGGCGCTCTGCCTTTGAGCCAGCTGTCAGCGGCCAGGAGAAGCTGGACTTCAACAGGAATTTGAAGGAGGGTAAGAAAGTCTCTTGGGACCCCCCCTCCTGCTGCCTTCGGGCCCCTCGGTATTTTTCCAAAGCTGCGGGATGGGATGAGCCATCCCGTGCCATGGTGCAGAGCCTCAGGCTGTGCTCACCTGGCTGTCCTCTCCCTCTCCCTGCTCTGCCAACCCCGGTCCCTGCCGGCGTGGACAGTGATGCCAACCATTGAGAAGTTACTGTCTAGTGACTGGAAGGAGCGGCTGCTGGGCCGAACAACTGCTGAGTCCAAGGAAGTGAAAGGTGAGGTCTCCCCCCAACAGCCACCCACCTCCACCGTCCTCTATCCCACACCCTGTGCCTGGGCAGCCTGGGCTGGAAACACGGCGTTTCCCACCTTAGCAGGAGGGGAGGTGTGCCTGCAAGCGTGTGTATTTAGTAGGGATTTGTACTTTTTTATCCAAAACATTAATTTGATTTTTTGGGGGGTGAGCATCCCTGATGAAAGCTTGCCTCTGACTGCAGACGGGATGGTTCAGCACATGGGGACCTTTATGCTCCCCACGCATTACCCATTCCCTGGCCGTGCATCACCCACCAGCACCCAATGGTGGTGGTGATGCTGTTCATCCTCCCCAAGCCCCTGACTCGCAGCCGCTTGGTTTCTTCCAGGAACCCAGGAGAGCCTGGCAGAGAAGGAGCTCCAGTTACTTGTCATGATCAACCAGCTGTCCACGCTGCGGGACCAGCTCCTGACGGCCCACTCGGAGCAGAAGAACATGGCCGCGATGCTCTTCGAGAAGCAGCAGCAGCAGATGGAGCTGGCGCGGCAGCAGCAAGAGCAGGTGGGCTCGGGTCCCCGTGGGCAGCCTGCTCGGGGGAAGCGTTTGCCAGGGACCATCCATCCCTTTGGGGATCCCTTTGGGTTCTGCTGGCCACGGGTGCAGGACCAGGACAGGGTCCCCCTGGGAGTGCTGGGGAGGTGGCTTTGGCGTCGGGGGCAGCGGGACTTCTCTGTCTGCCCAGAGACCCTCCCATTTTCTATGCCCATCCCAAAGACTCCCTGTCTCGCTCCCTGGTGCTGGGAGGATGAGGGGCAAAGGTGGGAATTGCACTCCTTAAAATAATTAAACCACACTGGGTCCTTCCTGACTGTGCTCTCTTTGCTCTTTGAACATGTATTTTTTCCTCTCCGGTGGCCCATACGGTGCTAAGGGCAGGGGTGACACCCCCTGGCATACCCCAGGGTGGGGGTGACACCGTCCCTCCCAGCGTTTTTCTCTCCCTGTGCCCCTTGAGGAGGCTCAGGGGCAGCTCAGCCACCCCTGCCTGCCCTCCCCACGGCCCTCGGGACCCTCTGCAGCCCCCTTGTCTCCATTTTGCCGGTGTTGGGCAGCTCGTGACAGGCCACAGCCCTGCCGGGGCCAGCTCGGCGCTGCCATTGATGCCGCTGAGCCCTGCTGTCTCCCTCCTGCCAGATCGCCAAGCAGCAGCAGCAGCTCATCCAGCAGCAGCACAAAATCAACCTGCTGCAGCAACAGATCCAGGTAAAGGCGGGGGACGTCTCCCCGTGTCCCCCTTCCCATGCTGGGTGATTGCAGCCCCCTCATGTGCCGGGCTTGTGTCCCCTCCCAGGACTAGGCAAGGGGATGGCACCTGCCTGCAGTGTCTCGCAGTGGTTATCTCGTCTCTCTGCTTCTCTCCCCCTCTTCCCTCCAGCAGGTGAACATGCCCTACGTCATGATTCCCGCCTTCACCCCCAGCCACCAGCCTCTCCCCGTCACTCCCGACTCCCAGTTAGCGCTGCCCATCCAGCCCATCCCCTGCAAACCAGGTGAGCGGGGTGTCCCGGGACTGCCCCAGCCCTGCAGGGTGGCCTTGTCCCCCAACCCCTCTCCCTCTGCTCCCCGCAGTGGATTACCCGGTGCAGCTGCTGCACAGCCCCCCTCCGCCCACGCTGAAGAGACCCGCCGGCTCGGGCCACCTCCAGATGCAGGTACAGCCCCAAAGCATCTCCATCCCCCAGGCTGGGGTGCTGCAGGGGCTTGTGCTTCACCCCCCACCTCCCCTCCGCCGCAGGAGACCTCGCAGCCGCTGAACCTGACAGCCAAACCCAAAGGTTCCGACCTCCCCAGTGCCTCCAGCTCACCCAGTTTGAAGATGAGCAGCTGCCAGTCCCTCACGCCAAGTCACGGGGCCACCAGGGACCTGCAGACCAGCCCATCCAACCTGCCTCTGGGTGGGTTCCCAAGTGCCTTCACCGATGGGTGGTCCCATGCCCTTCACTGGCCACCTCGAGAGATGGGGGACATCTCTTCTCCCTGGGGTCCCTCCTCCCTGGGGTGGCCTGGGTGGGCACCTACCGCTCTGTGCCACCCCCTTGGGGCACACAGTTGTGATTGCTGGGGTGGGATGGGGTGTTGCAGGGTGTCGGAGGAGTGGGCACTGGTGCTGATGGGTGTCCGTGCTGGTGTCCTGCCAGGGTTCCTGGGCGAAGGCGATGCCATCACCAAAGCCATCCAGGATGCGCGGCAGCTGCTGCATGGCCACAGCGGAGCCATGGAGGGATCGCTGAGCAACCCCTACCGCAAGGTGAGGGATGCCTGCCGGGTGGTCACTGTCCCCCTTTCCGACCGCACTGTCAGCGGCCAGAGTCGATTCTCCGTCCGTGGGTGGGCTCCCTGGCTTGGAGCTGGTTCCTGACTCTCGCCTCTCCTGCAGGACCACGTCGGGATTGATTCTTCCCCGGTGAAGGAGCGGATGGAGGAGACCCCTGCCCACCGGCTGGACGAGGCTCTGTTGACCTGTGAGATGGATGGTAAGGATGGCCGAGCGCACTGCAGTGTGACGCCCCCCGGCTTGCTCCTTCCTCTGGCTCCTGACCTCGGCCGGGTTTCCCTCGCAGGCTCACGGCACTTCCCCGAGTCCAGGAACAACAACCACATCAAGCGGCCCATGAACGCTTTCATGGTGTGGGCGAAGGACGAGAGGAGGAAGATTTTGCAGGCCTTCCCGGACATGCACAACTCCAGCATCAGCAAGATCCTGGGTGAGTGCTGGGGATGGCAGTGGGGGGCTGGGGCAGGACCCCTACTCAGCATCCCCATGAGGGGAGACAAGCTCCATCCAGCTCCTTGCTCCACTCATCCTCAGCCACCCGTGTACGGGTGATGCCCACCGGGATGATGCTACCCCTGTTGTAGCATCACTCGTGGGTCTCATCCAGCCAGCGTCTCGTACCCCCCTGACAGCAGTGTCCTGCTGCGGCTCTCCATCACACCAGCCCTTCCCCGTGTCCATGTCACTATTAAAAGCGAGCGGTGTGGTCACCAGTGAGCCCGTCCGAAGGGCTGAGAGCGAGTGTGTGCTGGTGCCATGCAGCTGCACCATGGGTTACCTCCGACACTCGCACCCGCTCTGCCACAGACTCATTTTAGCAGCTCTGCTTGTTAAAGAAAAAAACCGAGACAACACCAAGCTTTTCCCTTTGAAGGAGCACATGGGCAGGATCTGCTCTGCTTAAGTCTCATGACCATGGGGGGCCTGGAGTGGCTGCTCTGTGGTGAGCTGCTTGCTGTCATGGTAGATGTCCATGGCTTTAAATAGCTGGTATGGTTCTGCCCAGGGAGCCAGAGCTACTCACTGCTTGAGGGGTGCAAATTTAGCAGATGGATGAGTGATCCAGAGCCAGTATGCACCCAGACCAGGGTTTGGTTCCTGTGTGCTCTCCTGCTCTTGGAAATGTGGGTCTGAGCTGGTGCAAGGGGCTGAGCATGTGGGGAAGGAGCCGGTGGAGGACACCTGGGCACCATGGGCAAGGGGCTTGCGTGCCTCAGTTTACCTGGGCCACCTGGCTCGTGGTGCAGGTGTGGGAGGTGGATCTCCCTGGGGGAGCTGGGCCATGCTAGCAGGTGAAGGACACCCAGGAAAGGGGCATGCGGGGACTCACAGGAGGATTTAGGTGATGGGGGGGTGTCTCTGGAGGTCCCCAGCCCAAAGCAGTGCCCAAAGCCCGGCTAACTCCATAGTCCCATCAGGGCTGTGTCCTTTTGACTGTTGAGCATCTCCAAGGATGTTGAGGATCTCCAAGCATCTCCAGCTTGTCCTTCTCTCTCCCAAACCGGATGCTGGTCCAGCTGCACCCTCCCAGGTGCTGAGCCAAGGGGATTAATCCCTTCTCTCTGCCAGCCTGGCCCCGAGCCTCTCTCCCAGCCCAGCGGCCTTTGTGCTGAGCCCTGCTTTGCCCTCCTGCCTGGGGTGCTGGCGGTGATGACAATAAAGGTCAGCCAGCGGGGGGACGTGAGTCACATGCCAGCACAGCCTATTTTAGCTGCAGCACCTGCTCGCCATACCTTGGAGAGGATCAAAAGCTGTGGCCCAAGGGGTGCCCTGGGAAGGTCAGGGCTGGGAACCTGTTCCCGGTGTGGCAGGAGGGCTGGCTGCCCTCTGCGGCACGGGGGTCCCATCGGGGGAGCCGCTCTCAC